ATAAGGATTATCTCATGTAATTAGGAGTCCAAAGATAGAGTGGTTTAGTCACATTATCAAAGACCTGGCTTCTTTCCATCTTTCCACTCTGCCATCTTCATTGGGAAGGCTTTTGCCCTCGGCCTTGTCTTCTTTTGAGTACAGATGTCTGCAGCCACAACTCCAGAGAGAAGCCGTTACTTCTATAGAGGACAGCATCTAGGGTGGCCTTCATGAGCCCCAGCTCTTGGCATCATCCCTTGTTGTGATATGGAACCTGTGACTTGCTTCTCATCAGTGGAATATGGCAAAGGTGATGGGCTCTCTGTGATTACACACATGTGCTCATGATACATACAATTGTAACAGCCATGTCACTAGGAGACCCTCTCTCTCCCTTGCTGGCTTTGGTGAAGCAGCTTCCATGTCGTGAGCTGCCACATGGAGAGAGTCACATGTCAGGGAACTGAGTGTGGCTTCTGCTCAGCAGCCAGTGTGACAGAGGCCCTCAGTCTGGCAGCCTGCAAGGAACTGAATGCAGCCCACAGCCATGTGAGGCTAGAAGTGAACCCTTCCTCAGTCAAGTCTTGGATGAGACTGCGGCATTGGCTGACCCTGGGATTCCATCTCTGTGAGACTCTGAAGCAGAGGCTCCAGCTAAGCTGTCCCTGGACTCCCGATCCCTAGAAATTTTAAGATTAAACAACCGGTGGGGCCGGGTGCAGTGGCTCACGCCTGTAATCCCAGCACTTTGGGAGGCTGAGGCGGGCAGATAATGAGGTCAGATGATCAAGACCATCCTGGCTAACACGGTGAAACCCTGTCTCTACTAAAAATACAAAAAATTAGCCAGGCTTGGTGGCTCGCACCTGCAGTCCCAGCTACTCAGGAGGCTGAGGCAGGAGAATCACTTGAACCTGGGAGGCGGAGGTTGCAGTGAGCCGAGATCGCGCCATTGCACTTCAGCCTGGGTGACAGAGCGAGACTCTGTCTCAACAAAACCCAAAAACCAAAAACCCAGTCTCACATGGCCGTGGGCTGCATTCAGTTCCTTGCAGGCTGCCAGACTGAGGGCCTCAGTGTCACACTGCCTGCTGAGCAGAAGCCACACTCAGTGCAATCTTTTCTCACTGCAGCCTTCGTCTCCTGGACTCAAGCAATCCTCCTGCCTCAGCCTCCCAGGTAGCAGGGACCACAGGTGTGCACCACCACACCCAGGTAATTTTTTTTTTTTTCATGTTTTTGTAGAGACGGGGTTTTGCCATGTTGCAAAACGGCACTCATCCCTCCCATGTTGCTCAAACTGGGAGTAATTTTTTTCAAGAAGCCTCCCAGTCATCTTTTTGGAATTATATTATGTGGTCATTCTTAATCTAACCACTGGGAAAGGGAATAAAATTACCGAATTTGGCATAAATGAATCAAGGTTTACTTCTAAAAATAAATACATAGGGAAAATAGTTAAGTGTTACTATGACAAATAGGCAAATCCAAAAACTTGTACATTTACAAGACAATTGGCTTGGTCACTTTAAACAGCCAATATCATTGAAAAAGTGAATTGGACTCTTCTGAATTTTTTAACACTAACACATTTTTTAAAAGGTACCTAACAACCAAATGCAATGTGTGGACCTTGATTGAATCTTAGTTCAAAAATTTAGCATAAAGTCTATTTCAGGAACAACTGGAGAAATTTGAACATGGACTAGATAATTAATATTAAGGAACTATTTTAAATTTTTGTAGTTGAGACAGAAGTATTACAGCTATGTGAGAGAACATCCTTATACTTTAGAAGATGTATACTGAAGTATTTAGGACTAAGGCATCATGATTTCAACAACTTATTTTTGAATAGTTTAGCCAAAAACTATTTCAACACACACACAGAAAGATTAAAGCAAATATGGAAAAATGTTAAATGTTAATTGACTCTAGATGGTGGCTATGGTTGACAGTTGCACTATTTTTTTTTCAACCTTTCTAACATTTTTGATCACAAAAATGTGAACACAGACTCACCTCCTTGGGCTGGTATCTTGGTCTATAGATTCAATACAATCCCAATCGACATCCCAGCAAGTTATTGTGTGGATATCAACAAACTGATTCTAGGGTGGGCACAGTGGCTCACACCTGTAATCCCAGCACCGTAGGAGGCTGAGGCAGGAGGATTGCTTGAGCTCAGGAGTTTGAGACCAGCCTGGGCAACACAGTGAGAACTTATCTTTACTAAAAATAAAAAATTAGCCAGGTGTGGTGGCATGCACCTGTAGTCCCAGCTACTTGGGAGGTTGAAGTGGGAGGATTACTTGAGCCTAGGAGGTGGAGGTTACAGTGAACTATGATCATGACACTGCACTCCAAATTGGGTGACAGAGCAAGACATTTATAAATAAATAAATAAATAAATAAATAAATAAAGTATATTAAAAAAAGAAGGCGGCCAGGCGTGGTGGCTCACGCCTGTAATCCCAGCACTTTGGGAGGCTGAGGTGGGCGGATCAGGAGGTCAGGAGATCAAGACCATCCTGGCTAACACAGTGAAAACCAGTCTCTACTGAAAATACAAAAAAGTAGCCAGGAGTGGCAGCGGGTGCCTGTAGTCCCAGCTACTCGGGAGGCTGAGGCAGGAGAATGGCGTGAACCCGGGAGGCGGAGCTTGCAGTGAGCTGAGATCGCGCCACTGCACTTCAACCTGGGTGACAGAGCGAGACTCCGTTTCAAAAAAAAAAAGAGGAAGAAGACCTACTAGACGTACTTCTTAGGGCTGCCTGGACAGTTTCAGGCTCACTCAATCACCATGTGCTTTTGCCTGGTAACCGACCTCAAGTCACTGGCGTACAATCGGTCAGGGAGCTGGTGTCCTCTCATTCGCTTCATCTATGTTTTCCAGGGTCAAGCCAGCTCTCCAAGGATCTCTCAGCCAGGGCGGACAGAAGCGAATACCCTTGTCACTGCATAGCCCCTGAACCTGATGGGGTATGACCTGCTGGGCGGAGCTCAGCTCAGCTACCCCGAGAAGTAAACAGCACAGAGGGAAAGATAAACACTCTAGGCTTCCCAAAAGCAATTATCATGTGTGGTTATTAGAACATTTGTATTCACTATCCTGGGAGAAGGAAGCAGAGATACAAATAAACCCAGAATTGATATTTGCCTGGGGATAAATTATATGACATTGCAGAGTGGGGAGCAGATTTTCTTTCTGGATTACTTTCTGCACAGGCAGCCATTAAAATGTATAGCTAGTCCCTGAGCGCGCATCAGCTTGGGGCCGGGAAGCCAGACTGGAGGCCAGGGGAGTTCACGGTTTGAGGGCACAGCGCTCATAAGGAAACGGGAAAGTCAACTTTTGATTTTCTTTTGTCACATGTTTGAGAAGAGTTTGTTACTTTCTCCAAGGCCCTGAGAGGTGATATCACCCTCTCCCCTACATGGTGTGAGCTGGCAACCACAAGGTGGTGACTTCCACAGCAGGTCCCCTGAAGGGGAACAGACAGCGAGTGGCCCCACGGACCCGCAGGATTCTTGAGCTGCCCACGACAGTCCTCGTCTAGAAGCTTCAGCCGGGTATTTATGAGCTTAGCAGTAAAAACTCCCTTGGTGGTCTGCGGATAAGCAAAGCCGGCGTCCCTTCCCTTGCACACTGGCAGTGTTCTGTTGCAAGGGCTTCAGTGCTGAGGCCATTCCTTTGTCTTGGGAAACTGTCACGGGTAGGGCAGCCATTTCTTCAGGCTTGCTGACCCCAGGCTAGCCTCACACCAGCCCAGTGGCCCCCTTCGGCGTGGTGTGGCCAGGGGGAAGATTATCTGTGGCTTTATCAGGCAGATGGTGTCTGGAATCCTCAATCTACCATCTCAGCTGTTTGACCTCGGACAAAGCTGGCCTCAACTACTCGCCCATGAGCTGGAGGTCGCTGCGGTACCTACGGCACTGGGCTGTCAGGAGGATGACATGAGAATGTACAGAGGGTACCCAGCACACAGTGTTCGTCCACGAAGCGGCAGTGCTCATAATTTTCTGTGCGTGAGTAGCGGTAACAAACTCCTCTTTTTCAAGAGCACACTTTATGGTTTCTAAAATCTAGGAAAGACACAAATTGTCTTTCTCAGCAGAAACCTGTGAAAACAACTCAGGGACACCCATAGCATGAGACCCTTGCCCCGGCTATTTGAATAAGCACAGCTTAAAGCCTTACAGCTCTTCATCCCCAGCGTGGTACTCATCCCATGAATGGCCACGTTCTACTCGCAGGTGAAATAAACTGGTTTTAAACAATCAGCCTTACGACAATCTTGAGGACAAGAGATTTGGGACATTTCTTGGGCCGCATTAGACCTGAAGCCAGCAGGTCATAGATTTAGGTCCCAAGTCAAACCCTTGCTCAGGTGGGAAACCTATGCACCTGGTTTTGGTCTGTGATCTCTCCTGGAAGCCGAGCGTCATTTGCAAGTGTGTCTGTAGGAGGTGTTGCTTTTTTTGTGGTGGTTGTTGAGGCAGAGTCTTGCTCTATTGCCCCAGAGCTGGAGTGCAGTGGCACTATCTTGGCTCACTGCAACCTCCACCTCCCGGGTTCAAGCAATTCTCCTGCCTCAGCCTCCCAAGTATCTGGGATTACAGGCACGTGCCACTGCACCTGGCTAATTTTTGTATTTTTAGTAGAGATGGGGTTTCACCATATTGGCCAGGCTGGTCTTGAATTTCTGACCTCAGGTGATTCACCTGCCTCAGCCTCCCAGTTTTGGGATTATAGGCAGGAGCCACCACCCAGCCAGGAGGAGGTGCTCTTAATGCGTAGGACGTGTCCACTGCCTCCCGCCTCCTCTCCCCAGTGTTTTCATCCTCAGGTTGAGCCTGGAGTCTGGGTTTCACAGAAACGTGGATAACAATGACATCGGTTATAGAAATAGGAGGCACCTACTCTATGTCCATCAACGTGAGCATATAAAAACGGTTGCTTTTTTTTTCTTTTCTTAGACAGTTTGCAGTATAGCTGGGGAGATAAAACATACCAGTCTCTGTAAAGATTAAATTTATTTAAATCACATAAGATTATTCAAAGCCATAGGCATGATTACGTCTCTATAGAATCAAGAAGATTTTCTGCGTGGAGAATATCTCATGGAGATTTGAAATGTGTTGCCTCTCCTGAGCAGCCAGGATGAACTCCGCCTAGGAGGAGGTTTTGGATAAGGGTCAGGCTGGTGTCCTTCTTTCCTGCCTCCGTGGGTTGTCACCTTCTGCTATGTCAGGGGGGTCGCTTGCTTAAGATGTTGTAAGGAGCACCCCAAACGCCAGGCTTCCTGCCATAGCTGGCCCGCTACAGGGCTCACCAGCCTTGCACCGAGGTCAGCACCTCAGTCACTCCGCATTTTGTCTTTCACCACGAAAGCATGGCTTTTAATGTAGGCCAAATGCTGTGACACCAGTATCAAGTCACAGAAGCAGCTGGTCTGCTGCCTGCTGAAGCTGAGAGGCAGTGTGGGGTTGGGGTCAGAGGGGAGGGCGGGCTCCTGGGCGCTGCCCACGGGCCTCACTCCTCTGCCTCCACTCACGCGGGCTCGTGTGACCAGATGGGTTTTCTCTTCTGGAGGAAGGCCGTGATGCCCTCCTGCCCGTCCCGCAGGGCCAGGTTGTCCACCATGGCCTGGGAGGTGAGGTAGTAAGCCGTCCCCAGGTCCTGGGGCAGCTGCTTGTAGAAGGTGGCTTTGCCCAGGGACACCACCGGGCGGCTCAGTGACGCGATCTTCCGCGCGATCCGCATGGTCTCCTCCTGCAGCTCTGCCTCTGGCACCACTTTGCTGAGCAGCCCGTGGAGCAGGGCCTGCTGGGCAGAAATGGGCTCCCCAGTAAAGAGCATCTCCAAGGCCACCTACGGGGAGACACGGGAGGTCACTGAGGTGCTCTCCTGTGACCCGCCCCCCCGACCTGAGTCCCACCTCGGCTCAATGACCTGCTTCCTCAAACACCACATCACCTGCCAGCCCTGATGTCTTCAGTGCCCTCACTCCTGCCCGGGAGGAGAGCAGATCTTTCCAAGAGCGAAGAAACCACACCAGCCCCAGGGGCAGTGACTGTCCCGTGTTGTCTTGCTCCTGCACAGATCTGGTCACTGAGCCCTGCCACGGCTGGGGATGTCGTCTACCTCTTTTGAAGGCCAAGCACAGGATGGAATCCACATCAGCTGGGATGACCCACAGACACTGCAGCGTGGGGGTTGGGGGTGCGGAGTGGGGGGTCCAGTACCTCTCAGAACCCACTGGGGCCACTTCCCACAAGCACTCACGGGGCTGCCACCTCGGCTTGATTGGAAAGAGCAGCCCCGGCCTCCTGGAGAAACGAGGATTTACAGACAACGTCTTCAGGGACCAGATGTAGAGCCCAGTGTGGTTTTAACTCACCAATGGGTAAGAAGTGGCAAGGAGAGGATGCCCTCTCCCTCCTACAACTCTCCCCTGAGGTTCCAGGGCTAGTGAAGAGCGGGGAGCCCAGCTCCCTCCCTCCCCTCTGTGTCCTCTGCTTCACAGCCACTGCACCAACCAATTCAGTCACGCTACCAAGCCGACTCCTCTAAAGTCAAATTTACAATGGAAAAGAGGGATCCCCAGGGGCACAAGGACACACAGGCAGGGGGCCTTCCCTCCCCCACCCCTCACTCAGGCTCTCACAATCCTGGTGGCATCCCTGATGTGCCTCAAACACGCCCGTGCGCAGTCACCTCAGGGTCCTCGGACTCGCTGGTCCCTCTGCCTGGAGTGACTTTTCCCTGGCTGTTCTCCTGGCACACGCCCTCATCGCAGGCCTCTAGTCCTGCGTCCCCTGTCACTGAGGTCTTCCATGGCCGCCCTGCTCCAAGTGTAAAACAAACTCTGAAGCGACCCCGCCTGGTTACATTTTAAATCATTTGCGCTTCTCTCCATTTAACACCCTATGTATTTCATGTTTGTTTATAGTACATGTCCTTTGTAACACGTAAACTCCAGGAGGACAGGATTTCTTTTTTTCCCCAAGATGGCGTCTCACTATATTACGCAGGCTGGTCGTGAACTCCTGGGCACAAGTGACCCTCCAGCCTTGGCCTCTCAAAGTGCTAGGATTACAGGCATGAGCCACCATGCCTGGCCATTTTTTTAGTCTTCTGTTGATTTCTGTGTCTCCAGCACTGGAAGACTATCTTGCACATAGCAAGCAACCTATTCAATATTTATGAAGGAGGGAAGGGAGGGAAGAAGAGAGGGAGGAAGGCAGGTGGGCAGGAAAATAGAGTATAGCACAAGTGGCAGGCTGGTTCCTTTGAGAAGAGGGCAAGCAGGTGATACAGCTTCTAGCTGGCTCTGGCTGGCTCTTAGGACCTGGCCTCCATGCTGTGAGGAAGCCCAAGCCACACTGAGAGGCCAGGTGCAGTGTGCTGCCAACCACCCTTTGGGGGGCCCAGCTCAGAGGCAGCCTCCACAGCCAGACATGTGAGCAAGCAGCCTTCAGATAAGTCCCCAGCTGAGGCTGCTGACCCTGTGGAGCAGAGAGAATCCTTCCTCACTGAGCCCTGTCCAAACTGCAAATTCTGTTGTCTTTTGCTATGATACTGTGGGTGACCTGTTGCCTGGTAATGGATAGCTGCACTAGCTGGAGACAGACACAGGAGAGGCATCAGCATGTAGAGTGGGGTTTCTCAACCCTGGTGGTACTGACGTTCGGATAACTTTTTTTGGGTGGGGGGCTGGGGGCTGTCCTGTGTATTGCAGGACGTTCTGCAGCATCCTTGACCTCCACCCTCTAGTTATCAGTAGTACCCATGCCCCCACACCAAGCTGTGACAATCAAGAATGTCTCCAGGTATCGCCACATATCCCTGGGCCAATACTGCTCTCAGTTTAGAACCATGGATCTAGAAGGTTTTTAAGTCATAGGACTAGATTGGATCCCCCTGGATTGAGCTTGGATAAAGGAGAGACCAGAAGCCTGGCCTGAGGCCCCTCCTGCCACCATGGGTGGAGATGGAGCCCACAGGCACTGGGCTGGCAGCCAGGGACGGGTGATGCAGAGCCTCCTTGTCTCCTCTGTAAAGTTAAAGGCATGGACTAAATCGCCACCTGTTTTGGAACTGTACTGATTTTACGTTGGAGGGAGCAGGAATGTGACAGCTATGGGGGTTTCAGGGCAGACCATTTTTAGTTGACCAGGAAGAGCACTTCACGCCAAAGTGTGTCTGAAGCCCTGGTTGAACCAGGAGCTAAAAAGCAGATCCTGTTGTGAACAGCTGTGAAATAGGACCCTGCTGAAGACACCTAGCGGGTCACAGCATGGGGCCAGGAAGGTGCTCTGCTCCATCTCTGCCCCTGAACCGCGTGTCAGCTGGGATCAGAAGCCAAGGTGGAGACGGTGTCACGGCTCCTCCCAGCCACTTTCCCTTTACTGATACAGGTGGCCCTTGGGGAACTCACAGGGACCAAATGTCAGGAAGTGGCCAAGCCTGAAAAACTGATGCAACATGAAAAAACAACAAAAGCCACCCAAGTCAACCTTATCGATCCCTTTGTCACTTGCAATGATCAAGTCCTAGGTGACTTTCAGAGTTGTTAAGAATGGAGTCAGAGCTGGAAGGAGGAAAGAGTAAATCCAAAGTAGTAAATGATCCTTCCCGGCCGGCTCAGCAGATGGACACGTATTCATCCCAGGTGGGGGGCTTGCGGCCTGGGCTGGCGGTGTGTGGGTGCAGACCTGCATGGAATTCCAAATGCCCCAGATGTTTTGGGGCCAAGTCCTTTGGAGTTCAAGCTTCACAGGCGGGGCCTGGTCCCAGGCCTGCTGGGCACTGGTCCTCCTGGGACCCCCGAGCAAGCCATTTCTCACCTCTCACTTCCGCAGCCAGCAGGCTCAGGTACAAATGACTGTCACCAAGGGACACAGTGAAGAAGCCACTAACTAATGACAGCAGGGCACACTGTCACATTGAGTACAACGGAAAGGCTGGGGAAAAAATGGTCCATCTGAGCCAGACATAAATCAGGGAAGTCACCATGAAGATTTTGCTTGCAGAAGAAAAGCTCAGGGACCTGGTTTGAGCTCAGGGGACCTGGCTGAGCCAGATGTACCTGAGTTCCAACCCCAGCTCTGGCACTTACTAACCACAAGATCTTCAACTATTTAATGCCTTGGAGTTTGTTTCATCTGGAAAACAAAAATGAGCGCCTCCTGCAGTATTGCAAGGATTACAGATAGCAGGTGCGAGGCTTGTATAATAACAGTCCTGGGCACTCAGTAGGCACCTAGTGAATGCAATGCCTATTTTTAACACACTTAGGCCAACTACAGATGGTTCATGATCTCTAATGCTGGCTTTTAAATGGTCACCCCAGCCTTGGAATGGGGGCGATTAAATCAGAGGGGTCTGCTGGATCTCATAGGCCACCCAAGTGGCAAGAATCGTGTGCTACAGCCCACAGGGGACTCTCCCCACGTCATGCCCCTTTGCATGGGTGTGGTGTCTTAGTCCATTCAGCCTGCTGGAACACAGCACCATAGCTCAGTGGCTTATGAACAACAGACATTTATATCTCACAGTTCTGGAGGCTGCGAAGTCCAAGGTGAGGGTGCCAGCTCCGCGACTGCTGAGGACCTGCTTCCTGGTTCATAAACGGGGCCTTCTAGCTGTGTCCTCACATGCAGAAAAAGGGTTAAGGCAGCTCTCTGGGGCTGTTTTTCTGTTTTTTGTTGCTTTTTTTTTTGAGATGGAGGTTCGCTCTTGTTGCCCAGGCTGGAGTGCGATGGCACGATCTCGGCTCATTGCTACCTCCGCCTCCCAGGTTCAAGGGATTCTCCTGCTTCAACCTCCCAAGTAGCTGGGATTACAGGCATGCGCCACCATACCCAGCTAATTTTTGTATTTTTAGTAGAGACGGGGCTTCGCCATGTTGGCCAGGTTGGTCTCGAACTCCTGACCTCAGGTGATCCACCCGCCTCGGCCTCCCACAGTGCTGGGATTACAGGCATGAGACACCACGCCCAGACTGGGGCTGTGTTTACAAAGTCACTGATCCCATTCACAAGGGCTCCATGCTCATGATCTCATCACCCCCAAAGGCCCCACCTTCCAACACCATCACCTTGGGGGTGAGGATTCAACACAGGAATTTGGGGAGGACACAGCGTTGAGACCACAGCACACGGCATCTGTCTCCCAGGGACTACCAGCAGCAGGGTGAAGAGCTGCAGGAGGAGCACTATGGAAAGAGTCAGGCCTGAGCAGAGCCCATGGGGTTCTTGTGCACACACACACGCACATGCATTCGCACTGGCGCCAAGGCACTGGCAGGGTCTGTCCCTGGGGCTGCCACGTGGCCGGGCTCTGAGGGAAGCACACTGGAGTAAGGACACGAGGCCCTGAAACTCCCAGGCCCTCTTGCAAACTGGGTGTGGAACTGTGCTTCCTCTAAAACTGCACTCCCAACCTCTGGCCACACAAATCACTGCTAAAACACAGCCCGTCTGGGGCAGGCTGGAGACCCAGCCTTTCTCCCAGGCTCTCTAACATCTGCACCAGTTTGAGTAGCAGGCTTTAACCATCTTTCCAGCTTAGAAACCCCACTCTGTTCTCATTAGCTGATTGGAAATCAGAGTCTGCCTGCCTCAGGAAAATGATTGTTCTGGGAGGAAGGGCTTCTCATTTCCCACGTGCTCTCCAGTGAGGCCGGCTGCTTGAGCCACTGGCTCCGGGTCTGAGCAAGGCCAGCTCTGCCTGGGAACGGAGCAGCTGCGCCAGGCAGGGTGTTTTATAGGGTGCCGGGAACATGCATTATTTAGATCATGCCCAAGGAGAGAAGCTCTTTACAAATGGGGACTATTATTCATGTCCAGGCTTGGTCTGGAATGAAGAGACAGGCTTGATTCCATTGTTTCTGCCCGTCTCCAGCACAGTCAAGCAGGTCCCTTGGCAGCCGGGAGAGGGCACTAGTGACCCACACATGTTGTCTTAGCCAGCGTGAGACAAGCCCAACTTGTCCAGGCCAGTTTGCAAAAGTACCTGCTAGCTTCCCTGTAGGTGTACGAGGGACACGCACCCACCCCCAAAATACTCGGTGGGCCTGTGCACGGATGTCCACGGATGGGTTCACACGCACGCGATTGGCAAAGACAACGGGCAGGTGGTTTGGGTCAGGTTTATTAGATTGTTATGAATCCCAGTTTCTCCTCCTAAAGCAGGCCCACACAATGAGACCTGCAAATCCAGAAACCTAACAAAGGCCTTAAGTTCCAAAAGACTTTTTCTTTCTACAAAATTCCCTTCATCAGTACTGTGATTTCTGCTTTTCAGTGCTGACCCCAAACCACGTTCCTGAGTCATGGCTCCGAGTGGCCCAGCATTAATAAGCCCAGCGGGCAAGGACTTGTTGACAGAACCCTGAACCGCTTTCAGGCACCTGATTAGAAAAAACTGGCAAGTCTCCACTCGAGTGATTTAGAGGCCTTCTGGGGGGTCAGAACATGAGAACAGAGACCAGGAACCCGAGTAGGGCCGTCCGGAGATTTTTTGCCCCATTTTCTGAGGTCTGTCCTTGGGAGGTAAAAGCTACTTTGGTTCATCTAACTGGGCGATTATGAAATGGGGTTTCTGAAGACTGGACTTCCTTGGAACTTAAGGCCTCTTTTTTGTCATATTTTCCCCTTTCTCTTCTCAAAAACTTTAAATTTTATCAATTGAAAACTTGATAAATATAGTCTAGCATTAAGTTTCTAGGGATCAAATCTATTAAGCCTTGATTTCAAAAGTTTAAGAGAGAATGGGTTCTTATCCAGACAGTAGGGCTGACTTCAAGGTTTCAAGTGCTTTACTGTGGAACCTTCCAGCATGTCAGGTGTTGAAGAGGACAAGCAGCTGTCAGCACAGCTGTCTTTTATTAAACAAAGGCCTTGTGATTTGATTTGCACAGTTATAAGGTAGTTTGTGAACAAGCTCTGACAGTCAATTTGTAATATACAAAGTAGAGTCTTAAGAAATAGTTACTGAATGGGCCAGGTGCGGTGGCTCACACCTGTAATTCCAGCATTTTGGGAGGCCGAGGGGGACGGATCACTTGAGGTCAGGAGTTTGAGGCCAGCCTGGCCAACATGGTGAAACACCATCTCTACTAAAAATACAAACTTAGCCGGGCATGGTGGCACGTGCCTGTAATCCCAGTTACTATAGAGGCTGAGGCAGGAGAATCCCTTGAACATTGCAGTGAGCTGAGATTGCGCCACTGTACTCCAGCCTGGGTGACAGAGCGAGACTCCGTCTCAAAAAAAAAAAAAAAATTACTGAATGAGTTTAAGGTAAGTGTCGATCTTGATAGAGTCGAAAACATCCTCTTAGTCTGAAGACACTTTAGCCAGCCGTCACCTACTGTAGTGCAGAGCCCACTTCCAGCCCACTGTCCTAAGCGTGTGTGTTCACAGGTATCTGTCTTCTTCACAATTTCCCCACAAACACACATTTCTGCAAAAACTAACAAAGGGGCACTGCAAAAGAAAGGAATACTTCCCTAAACTTCTTGGTCCTACTACTGGATTTCCCTTGGATCTTATTTCTCTTGCGTCGAAGGCATGTGGGCAACTGCTAATTTTCATAGTTGATGCTAAAGTAGATCATATACATTAGAAAGCAATAGCTTCTTTACTTGGTGTGGTCTAAGACTCTGCCCCCCTTTTTACAGATTTCCAATTAAGAACAAGGAGGCACTTTTTCTGCAACAAGAACATTGTTGGTTTACACTTAAGGAAGGTTTAGGAAATATTATTTTATGATGTTATAGGAAGGAAGAAAGTTTTGTGATGGAAACAGACTTCACTGTAGTTAACAAAACCACTTTGCAACACGGCTCCTCCTTGGGCAGATTCAACACACCACGCACAGGAGATTCATGTTCTTGAAATGCAACCGTTGTAAACCCAAGACACTCCAAAAATCACCTACTCTAAATCCGTTCTGGAACAAGACGACTGTTGACGAAGAGTGAGCCAGCGACACTACTATCCTAGGCTCCTGATACTGGCATTATGTCAGCATGCTATTCTATCTCACGGGCAACCATTCAGTGCAACAAAACTGAGTCTCAATTGCATTTCAAATAAGATTACAAAATATGTGCCATTAGGAAGACAAACAAAACCAATCGGCAAACCTCCCCAGTGGTACTGAGGGTACACATGATGGAAATACAGTGATTTCACAAATTGACGCCCTGCGTCAGAAGCTACTGAGGACCAGGCAGGCGGTCGGCTCTTCCCTCCCTGCCATTAGAGGGAAAGTCATGGCCCATCTAGCCAGAGGCGCTCTGGGCAGAATGTCCTGATATGAAAGGCACTTTTAACAAGCGGATCTTGAATCATCGCATGCATTGGAGGAGGAACTCCAGAGAAGGCTGGGAGGCAGAGGTGGGTGGGGGAAGTTAAATTACCTTTCTAGGCACTGCTCTTGCCAAGGCAACCCCAGGGGTAGAACAGAAGAGCCCGATGTTCACCCCAGGAGTGGCAAAAGAGGACTTGTCGCTGGCCACGGCAATGTCGCAGCTGGCAACCAGTTGACAGCCGGCGGCTGTGGCCAGGCCATTGACCATGGCAATGACGGGGACAGGATGGTTCCGGATGAGCATCATGACCTGCGGGACAAACACACCCACTTCACTTCCACCCAGAGGGAGGCACGACATTAATGTCTATCTTTTTTTTTTTTTTTTTTTAGACAGAGTCTCACTCTGTTGCCCAGGAAGGAGTGCAGTGGTGAGATCTTGGCTCACTGCAACCTCCTCCTCCCAGGTTCAAGCGATCCTCCTGCCTCAGTCTCCTGAGTATCTGGGACTACAGGCATGGGCCACCACACCCAGCTAAATTTTTTTGGTACTTTTAGTAAAGATGGGGTTTTACTATGTTGGCCAGGCTGGTCTGGAATTCCTGACCTCAAGTGATCCACCCACCTTGGCCTCCCAAAGTGCTCAGATTACAGGCCAGTGAGCCACCATGCCTAGCCAACGCCTATCCTTTTATATGACTTTCCTGTTTCCAGAGCACTTTTCATATGCGTGAGTTTATCAGATTCTATGGAAAAAGGGTCAAAAAAGGCACAGAGAGCACTAACTCCTATTAAATATCTACTCTGAACCAGGCAGTGTCATTTGGTCTTTCTGAGAGCCTCATGGAGACAGAGCCCTATTGTACAACAAGGACACTAAGCTTGGTGGGGGCTGCTGCAGGGGGTGGCCCCAAGCTTAGCTCTTGAGAAGTGACAGACTCCCACCTGCCTTCCTGGCAAACGCGCTGAAGAATAGTGTGGATTTTTATCTCTGGGGAACAAATCAAACCCTTCAGAGACAGTTCTGTTTCCACCGTGCCTGTGTGAGGCTCTTGTGTTAAAAGTCTGAAGCTGGTATTTGGTGCTTCCTTGAAAAATTAAGGTGGAAAGGACCCTTGAAGGCAGTTTTCTTAATAATTACTTCTCAAATTACCACCATGAAGACTCTCTCAATTCTATTAAAATGGGGGCGGGGGGACTCTGCTGTCATCAAAGTAAACAAAATTCCTAAAATAGAGCCATTGGCACAGAGAGGAGAGACAGAAATGTGCTAATACGACCCCTCCAACCAATACATTTCCAGAACTTTAACTTATTTTTGCAGCTTATGTTTTCATGCCACAGAGTGTGTTGCTATGGTAACTGCAATTTCTAAAGTGCTGCTCTTTGAACCTTGGCAGGGAGAGAGGATGGGAATGAAATTTGGGTTACTTTCCCCAAGGCAGGTATTCAAAGACAAACGACCTTCATTGATTTGAAGATTCTGTCTAAGAAGCTTATCTTTTATATCCATAAACATTTGATATTCGTTAGCTTTCTTCTAAAATAACCAATTATATGTTTAAGGCTATGGTATCCTATCCTATAGTAGTGCTTTTTGACTTTTTTGGGGGGAGGTCTCCTTTATAGAACCTGATAAACACTAATAACATTCCCTAGGATAAATGAGGAAATGCATCCTCCTCAGAAGAACACAGGTGGGTGGATCACCTGAGGTCAGGAGTTTGAGACCAGCCTGGCCAACATCATGAAACCCTGTCTCTACTAAAAAAAAAAATACAAAAATTAGCTGGGCGTGGTGGCGTGTGCCGGTAATCCCAGTCTACTTGGGAGGCTGAGGCAGGAGAATTGCTTGAACTTGGGAAGTGGAGGTTGCAGTGAGCTGAGATTGTGCCATTGCACTCCAGCCTGGGTGACACAGCGAGACTCTGTCTCAAAAAAAAAAAAAAAAAAAAAAAAAAAAAAAAGAAGAAGAGGAAGAAGAAGAATGCACAGATAAGTAAACACCTGTACACAACACTGTTCGCGGATTTAGGGGGTTCATGCACTGTAGGGCGAGGCTGGGGATGGGCCAGCGAGTGCTCATTACCAGCGAACTGGAATGAATAACAAGGGGAAGAACTCCCAGGAACTTCTAAAGTCTTGCTGCAAAGAAAGAAAAGATTTTGTTTTTGTTCTGAGCGTTGCTGCACCACCCAAGGAACTGAAGTTACTGATGAAAAGCCAATTGACTGGGATTAGAGTTGAACAGTCTACCTGTCCCGTCCACCATCTGTGAATGGCTAGGATTTCATAAAACTTGGCAGAAAAATAGGTAATACAGTATATATTCAGCATAAAAAACACATATAATTATTAATATTATTTTTTTGAAACAGAGACTTGCTCTGTCACCCAAGCTGGAGTGCGGTGGCGCGATCCTGGCTCACTGCAACCTCCACCTCCTGGGTTCAAGTGACTCTCCTGCCTCAGCCTCCCGAGTACCTGGGGTTATAAGTGTGCACCACCATACCCAGCTAACTTTTTTGTATTTTTAGTAGAGACAGAGTTTCACCATGTTGGCCAGGCTGGTCTCAAACTCCTGACCTCAAGTGATCCGCCCGCCTCGGCCTCCCAAAGTGCTGGGATTACAGATGTGAGTCACCGTGTCCGGCCTAAAAATGCATATTCACCTTTGATCTAGGAATTCTACTTCTAAGAAATAATGTGAAATAGGTAAAAAGCTCTATGCCAAAGATGCTCACCAAATCATTATAATAGTAAAAAAAAACTATAAATAATATAAATATACAAAATAAATAAATGGCAATGGAAACTAAACTACATCCATTGACTAAGATGCTGTGTTCTCACTGAAATGAAAATTTCCAAGAGAAACACCAGCATAGCAGTCTGGAGCTTATGCCGTGGTCTGAAACCAGGCTGCCAGGGTTTGCCGCTCAGTCTGTCACTTACTGACTGTGTAATCCTGGACAAGTCATTTAATCTCTCAGTTTTCACATCTGTAAAATGGGCATGGTAATAGCACCATCCTTATAGAACATGACAGTTACATAAATTAACATATCTAAAGTACTTAAAATATTACCTGGCATATAGTAAGCATTCAATGCTATAATCATATTATATAATTTTATACTGTAATCTCACCTATATATGATTAGGAAAACAGGTTCACATGAAAAAATGATCTAAAAGGAAATATAGCAAAATATTAATCACAGTTCTCTCTGGGAGGTATGAATATGGTATAACATAGGTAATCTTTTATTTTTCCAGACTTTCAAAACTGTTTATAAGTACTTATTACTTTCATGATTAAGACTGTGTTAGGCCAGGCACTGTGGCTCATGCCTATAATCCTAGCACTTTGGGAGGCCAAGGTGGGCGGATCATTTTGAGGTCAGGAGTTTGAGACTAGCCTGGTCAACATGGTGCAACCCCGTTTCTACTAAAAAAAAAAATAAAACCAAAAAAAGTTAGCCAGGCATGGTGGCGCATGCCTGTAGTCCCAGCTACATGGGAGGCTGAGGCAGGAGAATTGCTTGAACCTGGGAGGCAGAGGTTGCAGTGAGCCGAGATCGGGCCACTGCACTCCAGCCTGGGCGATAGAGCGAGATTCTGTCTCAAGAAGAAAAAAAAAAAAAAAAAAGACTATTTAAAATATAAAGTTAGAGAGAAGTTCAGAAAAGACAAAGGGAATTTAAATAATCAACAGGCTAGAATAATCAAACACTTGATAGTCAAGAACTGATTATACCTATTTGACCTTCCTGAATTAGGTACTGTTTTGGGTCTGCTGACCCCAAAATGTGACATAAATAGAACTCTGCCCTAACCTCCTTTAACGGCATCGCTAAGGGTTTCGCGTTATTTCCCAAAGCAAGAAACCTTGTCCCATTGTCATGTGAGTGACAGGGTATGAGAGCAAAGAGCAGACTCTTCTCCTGAACTAGAGTTCCGTCTCCAAACTTCAACAGGATATAAGCAGAGAGACAAAGAAGAAGTCTCTAATATGAGCGCCATGGAAGGTCATTTTCACTCTTCCAGAGTCAAGTTCTTCTCATTCTCATTCTACTCATTCTTAATTTGCCCTGCTCCTGGTCTGTATATAATTAACTATCATGCAGTACTTGTAGTCTGTAACAAATTGGTATAGTTTTTAGATGCTTAGCTAATTCAGATACCTCTATCCTCCTTTCTAAAATCAAATTTTCTCATGCATGAACTGAACAATGAAATATCTAGCTCATTCTGTTCCAATCTACCTGTTGATTTCACTTGGAAATTGAAATCTTGCACAAGTCCATGGCACTCATATTTAGCCAACACAATGTGATTTTCTTAGAAATGGTTTAAAGAAATCAATACACTTTCAGTCCTATTTTACTACTTTGGGGTAGGCCCTGTTTATGCACTGAGTCTTTTTCAGGAAGTCAGAGGCCTCCAAGGGTTAGGGGCTTCCAAGAAATCTGGGCTTTATCCTCTGAAGAAGGCCTGCTCCCCTGTGGCCCATGGCTATGCTGTTTAGATCCCAGTTCATGAAGTTGCCAGAGCAGAGTGATAAAAGCAGACCCTTAGGGAGGATAACAGGGCTTTACTGGTTCTCTTTGATGCTTTTCAACTTCAGCCAAACATACTGGGTACTGGTAGAAAAAAACTTTTACAGCACCAAGCCTTGGCAAACCTAAGAGTGGAATGTTACATAAACATCATTAATGTAGGAAACAAAAGAGCCAGGTCTCGGCTCTAACTTGCTCCCACTTCCCCATGAAGCTTCAAGTAAAATGCTTTTCCTGTTTGTCCTTCCATGGAGTGAGAAAAATAGAACCTGATCTCTTTATGGGTTTCTGGAAGGGCAAGGAAAACAAATGGGGATGTCTTAATCATCTTCCCATTCACATCGCTGTTGCTCACTTGTGTCTTATATCATTAAACATCTGTGAAATCATTAATGACCAAATACATGAATGAATAAGTCGATGAATGAATAAAAAATTAGGTTAAACTATCTTAGAGGCAGGTTATGAAGCCGTTTTATATGTGTTGTTTCCCAAACAGATTTTCAGTTTCCGTTCGGCAGAAAGCAATTTTTTCTTATGTTTCCCTCAATGCCTTGCAGGTATTATAATAGGTGCTCAATAAACGGTCATTAGATGAACAATGTATTACTTAAAGCTGGATTCTCTATTCAATTTTTCATTACCCAAGGGGTTGATTTCATGCATTTATAAATCATCCAAAACTTTTTGTACCTCTTCTTCCTCTGTGGCTGTTGGTATTTTTCCTCCTTAATATGGTGAAAAAGGC